CAATTAGCATTTTAATTTTAGCAATTATTTTCGAATTTTATCATTCCACAAATACTTTTGCTAGGGGAGTGTATATGATTTTTTAATATTGAAATATAAAAAAAAAAGTTTAAAAAAAATTAAAATTGGGAATTCTGTAATAATCAAAAAAACGAAATAATAATGGTAATGATAGTAATAAATGTGACCATAACGCCTATAAGATATTCCGTTGCAAGAGAATAGGTGAATTTAATGTTTATTCTTATTGGCTTTATAGGCTGAGCCACGGCAAACAAAAAAAGTTATGATTATCATTTATATTATATGATATTTGGATATTCCGTTGCAAGAATAGGTGAATTCTTTATAGGCCGAACTACGGATCACTTATGGAAACACAGACAGAATACTTTTTAATCTAGCACAAAAATAGTTATGATTATTATTATTATTTATATTATATGTGACAATCTTTCTATATAATTTTTAATATAATAAAAATTTTGAAATATAAAAATTAAAATTAAAAATTGAGAATTCTGTAATAATATTTCTTCTAAACAATTAGCAATAATAATAATAATAGTAATAATAGTAATAATAGTAACAATAATAAAAATATATATTTCGCGTTTTTATATTTTTTATTTTTTTTCTATCCCACTTCGTCATCAATTATTATTTTATTTTTTTTTGCATCATTTGTTTGTTATTTTGTCATACATCCAATTTAATATATATGATATCAATAAATATAATATATATGTTTGTGTATGTATACATTTTTTGCACTCTATTTAAAAAATATTATTGTTATTATTATTATTTATTCACCAACGAGAATGAGTTTTTGTTTTACCAGTACCATATCTTGAGCGTCCTAAAAAATAACAAATAAACAAATAAATTAAATAATCATAATAATAATCATCATCATCATTATCATAATAATAATTACCACTATTACCACTGCTGGCAGCAGCGATCTTCATAAGTTCAAGTAATTTGGGATCAACTTCTTGATTAGCTTCTCGCAATATATTTACTAAATCTTTAGCCTGTTTAGCGTTTTCCATTGTGAAAAATGTTATTGCTTGTCCTTTAGCACCACCACGTCCTGTTCGCCCAATACGATGAACATAATCCTAAATTTATTAATTAAATATGAAAATTTTATTAAATATTCATAAATTAGGACATATATTAATATATATATATATATATATTAATTTAATAAATTAAGATAAATTAAATTAAAAATCAAATAATATTTACCTCAACATTAGTCGGAAAATCATAATTAATAACGAGTTTAACATCCTTAACATCTGGAGTCCAATAAATGTTTGTAAGCAAATTAAATCACATTACGGCTATCTAGCCGATTAAACTTAAGTCAGGTGATAATTGAATATCAGAAGTGCTTTAAAACACAAAAAATATCCACAAAAAAAAAATCCTTCGAAAAATATCCCGAAAAATATATCTCTCATCACAATAACAACAACAATAAAAAAAATATCACCCGAATTGTAACAAATAGATAAAAAAAAACAATACAATATAAAATATACATAAAAAGAAATGAAAAAGGATATGTAAGTCCCAATGCCAAATTCGTCGAGCAGACGCAAGCAAATCAAGTATCAAAGAAGACGAAGAAAATAGGACAGTACGACATAGAAAAGCCGGCACCCGTAACATTCTCCAAGTGCTTCAAGAAATCACCGCCAACTTGAACTAGGTTGTCAAAATAAACTCGGATTTTTTTTTTTCCAACCAAATTTCATCATTTCGTCCGTCATTTCTTCATTTTCTCTCAAATCAACCGAATCTAATCAAATCTAAATCAAATCTAATCAATCAGTCAATAAATTAATCTACGAGCCGTAAGCGGTAGGGACAACCTGCCAAAGACGGAATTTCTTGTCGTTTGTTCTTATTTTCATTCATATTCATATCATATTTATTTATTTTTTTTTTTATTACCATAAATTTAATTATTATCATTATACTTGTTATTATACTTGTTGCCCGCGGCTACACCTGGCATTTTGTGGGGACCTACACATAAATAACAATGACGACGACGACGACGACGACAACAACATCGCAGCAGGGGGACAAAAAAAAAATAATGGGTTATAACAACAACGGACGTCAAAATAAATCATTAAAATTCACTTTACCGATTCCTCTAGATGCAACATCTGTAGCAACCATTATAGGAGATTTTCCACTTCGAAATTCACTTAATACCCAATCACGTTCAGTTTGTGCTTTATCCCCATGAATTGCAAGTGCTGGCCAACCATCTTGACGTAAATATTTTGTAATTTCATCTGCTGTTCGTTTGGTACCGGTAAAGATTAATGTTTTATTTTCTTTTTGATCCATAATACGTTCAAGATGTTTCACCAACCTAGTAATAAATATTAATATTAAATAATAAAAGATAATAATAATAAATCATTATTATTAAATAAATTAAATAAAATTTAAATATTGAAAAAAAAATAAAAATAAAAAATAAAATAATGATTATTTACTTTGCTCGTTTTTCGTGTTCAGAACAAACTTCAATGGCTTGACTTATATTATGACTCGCTGACAAATCAAGTGAGCCAATGTTAACTTGAATGAAATCAGTCAAATAATCTTCAGCAAGTTTTTTAACTTCTTTGGGCCAAGTTGCACTCCACATAAGGGTTTGTCTATCAGGTCTAATTTGGTCAACAATTTTTCTAATTTGAGGTTCAAATCCCATATCTAACATTCGATCCGCTTCATCAAGAACGAGGTACGTAACTCGACGAAGATTGGTTCTTCGGGATTCTAACATATCTATCAATCGCCCAGGAGTAGCAATACAAATTTCAACTCCAATCGATAACTCACGAGCTTGAGGTCCTTTAGGAACTCCTCCGTAAACACAAGTATTCTTGATCTTTGATGATTTTCCAAATTTGGTACATTCTTGTTGAATTTGTACGGCTAATTCACGAGTTGGTGCGAGAATAAGGACAATCGGTCCGTCACCTTGTTCAAGGAAGGGTTGAGCATTAATGTGAACAATACATGGTAAACAATATGCGAGGGTCTTGCCAGAACCAGTTTCGGCAATACCCACTACATCACGACCAGAAAGTGCCATCGGCCATCCTTGAGATTGAATTGGTGTAGGTGCCGTAAAACCTAAATCTAGGATTTCTTTCAATACATAAGCTATAATAATAATAATAATAATAAATTTTAATATAATTTATTTTTTAATTTATTTAATTATCATTTTTTACTAATTATCATTATTACATTGTATTTATAAATTACCTGGAAAATTAGCTTCATCAAAAGTTTCTACAGGTTTTGGAATATCACGACCAAAGACTTTCATTTCATGATGTCTTCGATATTCTTCAACCTGCATTAGTGATCGATCAGTGACACTAGGATGTTCACGATAAAAATTCTTTTCGAATTTTGGAAGTTTAGTAACATCCCATTCTTGTCTTGTCAATCCGGAACCTAAAGTTGACATGCGATCATTAGAATATGAACTACTTCCACCACCTGGACGATAGCTTGAACTACTATAGCGATCGCCGTTAATACGTCTACTATCTTCACCAGGACTTCTCTCTCTCTCTCGATGAATACCAGAGCCACTACGAGATTCATATCTATAAAAATAAAATAATACAATAAATCATAACAATAAAAAAAAATTAGATTTATATAATCCATAAATTCTGTAGATTCTTGAATTTCCAAGAAAATTATTATTTATTTATTTATTTATGAATTTATTTATTTTTATGAAAGATTATGGAAATTAAAAGCTTACTCTTTACGATCTCTTCGACTACGATCATCATACGAACGATCTAACCCACGATCGTTACCATGACGTGAAGAGGAGGTTGTGGCGGCGGAAGATCCATAATTTTTGTATGATGAACTAGTATATGAAGTACCGTAAGATGTAGCAGCTGAAGGAGGAATACTACTTCCACCGTAAGCAGTAGCTGTAGATGCAGTAGTTGAACTGTATAAAGTACCTGGTGGCGCATTATTAGTATTATTAGTAGAAGAAGAAGAAACTCCTGGAGGTCCGTAACTAGTGTAAGACATTCTTTTTTGTTAATATAAATTATATTAAATTAAAAAAAATTTGTAAATGATGGAGGAGGGAGGTTTTTTTTTTTGTGTGTGTAAAAAAAAATTATTTTATATGTATAATAAAATTTAAAAAAGAAAAAAAAGGAATATTATTAATACATTAAAATATAAATCGAAGTGAACATGTGTTACACGGATTTATCAGTGATCAAAATCCATTTTTAATTCAACCATCAACAACTTTAGTTTAAAAGTGAAGATACCAAAAATAAATAATAATACTTATCAAAAAAAAAATTATTCTTTGATACAAGCAAATTCGATAACTTCATTATTAAGAGAATTTTTTTCTTTTAATAAATTTTCATGGTTGCTAATTATTTTTTTTTTTGATTTTAATCCTTACAAATTATATTTATTTAAAAAATTTTGATATATAATTTTGATATAATTTCAATTGGATGTAAATATTTAAAGTGGAGCACCCCCCACTGAAATATTCGAAATATCGGATGGAATAAGATACATAATAATAATTAATAATTCTAACTAAAATAATTAACTAAACTAATCCTAAAAAATAAAAAAAAACTATATTACTAACTACTAACTGTAAATTCAAGCACGTAAACTAAAACTATTTAAATTCTAACTAAAACTATTTAAAACTATCAAAATTCTAACTAAATCCATTGAAATCGCATCTTCAAATAGTCTTCATCTTGATTATGGTTGGAATTATTCCACAGTTGGTATTGTCATCATCCATGGTTGGTATTACCATCATTATCATCCACGGCTGGCATTATTATCATCATCATCCTCCACAACAGTTTGATATTTTAGTTAGGAATTAAGAGTTCCTATTAATTGCTAATTACAAGAACCTAATAAATTCTTGAATTTTGGATTTGATAATAATCGAATAGTCCTTGTGGATATATGACCACACTTCAGATTTGAAAATAATGGTGTCAAAATTTGAAGTGGTCCATAAGGTAAAAATCGGTAATTAGATGGGTGTCGGTCTACAGAAAAAGAAATGTCAGCAGATTTTAGCAAGTGTAAGACAAGAATCTAATAATAATAATCAAAAAAAGAAAATAATTAATAAAATAATTTATTTAGATATAGGTTTAAATAATTTTTTATACTTACTATAATCTGAATTGAGTATTTCAGAAGTTAATAGTTATACATTGACACATGTGTAATTTGACATCAATAACTATAAAGGGATACAATATTCACTTCCACTTATCAATTAAAAAGGTAAACAATGATTATGAAAAATGATATATCAATTAATTGCTTCAAAAACTTTTTCATATACAAGTAGTTAAAGATGTCTACCTTTTTTTATAATGGTCACTTAGTGGAATTAGTAGAATTAAAAGTTCAGAAACAAGTGATATGTGATTTTTAACTTTGCTTCAAATCACTTGAAGGTAGGAAAGGTCTCTTGTTATATACTCCAGAAATTTTAAGTTGATAATATATTAATATTATAATTATAATATTATGTTTAATAGAATTTAACTGATGTTATATATAAAAATAATGACCATAGTTAATGTTATATTATGAATAGATGAAAAGTCTGTATTCAGTTTTTATAATAAAAAGTCTTGTTTATGTTCAGTTTATTATGAAGACTTATGTCAATCTTGATTAAAGAATTATAAATAAGAAATTATTTTACATAAAAAACTATTAACTGTTCTTATATATATGTATATTATGTTATATTTTTTTAGTTTTTTTTTATTTATAAAAAAAATTATTTTTATAATCTTTTTTTAGTTTTTTTTTATTTTTATAATAAAAGAAAAGTTATTTTATTTTTTTTTAGTTTTATAATAATAATAAAAATTAAATATTATTATATATGATAATTATTTACTTTTAAAAATTTTTTGTTTACTATTATATTAAAAATGAATAACAATATTAGAAATTTTTTTAAAAAAAAATAAATTATCAAAATTGATAATCTATTTTTAAAAATTATTTATTTTTTTCCAATTTCTAAAAAAAAAAAAAAATAGATAATTTTTTTTTTTTATTTTAAAAAATTATTATTCACTTTTTCTAATTTCTAAAAAAAATAATTATTGAAATTAATATTTTATACAAAATAAAATAAATAGGTAACAAAAGTTAAAAATTTCTAAAAAAAATAGATTATTAAAATTAATATTATTATAAATTTTTGGAAATTTTCTAATTAAAAAAATAAATGAACAGATTTATTAATTATTTTTTGAAGATAAATTATTTATTTATTAATTAAAAATCATATGAAATTATTATCTTAAAACTTAATTGTACTAAAAATAAATAAACAAATAAATAAATTATTTAAAAGAATTATTATTTATTTTTTTAAAATTTTCTTAAAAAAAATAAACAAATAAATAAATTATTTAAGAGAATTATTATTTATTTTTTTAAAAATTTTTTAAAAAAATTATGATTTATATTTTAATTATTTATTTCTTTTTAAAATAGTAAACCAAATTTTTTTATTTCAGAAAATTAAGTAATAAAATATATAAATTAGTTTGAGTCTTTTAGATTAAAAATTATTTATGCTGTTATCTATGTAAACCTTCTATAATTTACAAAGACAACGGGATAAAATAATACTAAACTAATAAACAAAACTAAGTATAACTATAAGAATTACTAATCTCCAATCAAAATAATTACAATATGAGAGTTTATACGTAGAAGGAATCAAGTACGATCAATTATGAAAGAGGGGTATTTATTATTAACAGTGATATAAAGACTTGTTAATAGAAGCAAACAGTTTATTAATTATCAAAAGAATACAATAAACAAGGGACTCAAAGGATTTTATAATAATAACTTTATTACTTAATAAATCCTAAC